CATTGTGGCATTCTTGAACAACAAGCAGACATATTTAGGAGAACTGAAAATCATTCATAAATAAGACAATAAATATAAAAAGTGCTTGCTTTGACCTTTAAGCAACAGAAAAATCATTTGACAGAGAAGGTATGATATAAATTTTTGATAACCAGCTTCTTTCAAAACAAAAACAGATGACTATTTGAATAAATTTTCTGAAAAAAATACATGAATAATTTATGCAATTTAAAACGTTCAGACCCCAGACACAATGGAAAACCTGTCACTATTAAAATTCCTGTGGAGTTCTGTGTCTCCAATTGTTTACCACTTTCGTTATTAAAACGCCCTACATGATGGAGCACCTAGGTCCCTGATGTCGTCTTTTGCTACATTGCCTACCCCACCTCTACTCAGTCCATTCTTATAAACAGATGTTAAACAAAGGTTCGCAAGGGGAGGAACTTTGGCTTCAACATAGATATGGGACCTGATACACAAATTATCGCCCTCGAGGCAGTGGAAGAGCACGGGAGACAAAATCTCTGATCATCTAACTAGCCTCACGGCCCACCAATGTTTCACATGTATCAATGTCAACTGCCAATCGCTATAAAACCCGCAGCCCCCCTCAGAAAGGCTGCCATCTCTCACGCCTCTACAGTGTTGCAGAACACGGTCCATCTCTTTAGAATTCCCGAACTTACCTGTCCCCATGTCCCCACAACTGCCACTACCGGTGCCACAACCTTCTTTCCTATCCCAACCATGGCACGCCTGGGTGCTGAGATGTAACGTAGTGAAATGTTTAAAAGCATAGACTTGGGGGCCAAACTGTCTAAATTTCAATCTTTACTCCAAATTGAATTCAAATTCTGTACCATCTTCATAAAGTCTTTACCTCTGTTCTACAGCTCCCTTATCTGTAAACTGGGATAAGAATCGTAGTTGTTATAGAAGGGTGTTGAGCTATAAATGAGCTAATGTGTATGTAGAGCCCTAAAAGAGTATCACTCACACAAGATACGCTTTGAGTGTTAACTATTACCTTAAGATTCAGCGGAAGTGTCATATCTAGCTCTACTGTTATCCCTCAAATTAAGTTAGGGACACTTCCTCTGACATCCTTAGGTTTTGTTCATCTACTTACCTCCTAATATGCTCTCATGTTCTTCATCCATTTCTATATCACCAGCACTAAACACAATTACTACCACATACTGTATATTCAGGATACTTAGTACAATGAATGAAAGAAACAATAAAGTAATAGAGGATACAATGATTCCAAGGCACATGATCTTAACTATAGGATATAAATAGGCAGGAGTATCAAGCATGATTAGAGGATTTATACACTGCACAGAAGCACCTGGCTGAGAAAGCAGGTAACAACCGAACTACCCAGCCACACATCCTGGTACAAGGAGCAGTACACCAGAAGAAGGGAGCGACTGTTTTTGCTTTTTAAACCCAAAGGTGCCATCTTCATCACTCCTCGGCCTTTTGGCTAAGATTGAGTGCAAAGGTGCCATCTTCTCACCATGTGTATGATACAGGGATTTTAACCCAGAGAGGGAGTCTTTTCCTAAGTAATCTCCGCAGAAAGAGCACCTTTCCTAAGTCACAGAAAGGATGAATCAATAAAATGTGGTATCTACATACAATGGAATTCAGTCTTAAATAGCAAGGGGAAATTCTGAAATACACACTTATGGATGAATCTTAGAGACGCTATGCCAAATGAAACAAGCCTGTCAAACAAAAAAGGACGAATATTGTACAATTGTACTCATACCTAAAACAAACTCAGAGAGAGAGAAAACAGAATGGTGGGCGCCAGGGGCTAGGGACAGGGAAGGATTAGGAGCTATCATTTAATGGCTGTTAAGTTTCACTTTGGGAGGATCAGAAAGTTCTGAAGATGGATGGTAGAGATGGTTACATAACAATGAGAATGTACTTAACACCTCCAAACTGTACCTTCAAAAATAGTTAAAATGGCAAATTTTCTACCTATAAACAAATTTACATCAATTTTTTTCTTACTTGCAAAAAGAAAGGCAACTTCCCAACTTTAAATGATTTATACTAATAATTACTTGTGGCAAGATACCACACTTAGTTACTTGTGCATCTTGTAAACATCTTTTGAAATGTCAAACGGTTACTTTTGTGTACTAAAATAATACATTATTCAGTTACATATGCTGCACACTGCTTTCCTAAAATTGTAACATCTTTATGGCTTAGAATAGCTAATAATATGTAGTGACATCTGCTTTAAAAAGTTTCCAGGTTAAAAGGACTCTGGTTATGTTTTTATTATACAATATTATGGGGCCAGAGGTACCCATTTCCTACCAAAATTTACCAATATAATCTTCTAAAGAGAATCCCAAGGCTGCCATCAGGTAATGTCGGAGCTCATCTCCCCGATGTGGTACATTTCACTTCCAGATTCTCAGCTTTCACAATATGATGTCAACTCTACTCCAATTCAACCTCAAAGCATAAGTCACTCCTTCCCTGGCAACCGAGAAGAACTGAAATCTATGTCTCTTTCAGGAATTACCACTGAGAACTGACAGTGACAGCATTTTTTATGAAAAGACTTAAACATGTATAATATGTCAGTTCAATAATGCTGGGGTCCACTTTCAGTCAGAATATTGTCTTTACGTTAAAAAAAAATCACACATTCAAATATAATAACTATGCTGCACTAATGAAGAATATAGAGGACAAAAACCACGATGCATTCAGCAGTGCTTTAAAATGCGTTTGTGCTTTATCACCCACAGAAGTAAGTGCATATAGTAGAGACACAGTAGGATATGCACTTCACAAAACATGTTAAAGTCTACATTCAATATTCTCCGAGTACTGTTGCTAAATCCATAGATTCCTTGCAATAATCAAGCTATGGGATACTCTTAGGTGCTCTTAAGATCCATGCCTTGATAAAGACAAATCAGTAGAGACAGCACAACTTTGTGTCTATCCTCTGTGCTTCAATCCATCTTTCCACCTACCATTCCCCCCTTCCACTGAACTGCACTTTGCTGTGATGACGTCAGTCAATACCAAAGCACAGGAGGAGACACGATCCTGTGAGTGTACCCATTATACGTGATACAGGTGACACATAGGGTACCCAGGAAAAACTACTCTATTTCTAGAAAATCTACAGGGGGGGATTTTTTGGTCTTAGCATCATCAACAAAGAATGACTCACACACTTCCTTCAACCTTATAGGAGGAAACTGAATCTTAACACTTAGTGCTTCCTAACTTTCTTTTACATAGTCCATCTTCAACAGTATTACATATCAACATGCTATCACACTCCCATTTACTTAATTAACATTTTCTTCAAATACCAACCCTTGTTTTATTTACATAAATTTGAAAGGGAATCTTTTTAATTACTATTATAAATAAAAATCTAGAATCATTTATGATACAGAAGAGAACTGTAAAAATGAAAATGTTATTAAACTTTAATGACATTGCTACTTGCTTTTGGTTAAGCCTACTCGTGTAGGTTTACTTACAAATTACTTCAAAGCTTATACATTACTGAGAATGTAATGTAAAGTCACCATCCCTTTTTGTCAAATACATTATTTGATACAGTTGAAATCTCTTTTGCACTGACTTCCCTCATGCTCTCTCTTTCCCTTCGCAGAAATAACCACTATTCCATACTTGGTGTGTATCCTTCTCATTCGTGTTCTGGAATACTATTCTTATGCAAGATAAATTAGTATGGTTTTGTTTTTAAAAATCTGCATTAGTAATGCCACTGTTGTACAGTTTGTTTTGAGCTCAACTTTGTTTTCACAATGTACCCACTCATACTGATACACACTGACTTCCTTCATTTTCACTGTCCAATAGCAACTATTCTATGTATTTGTTTCTACTTATCCATTCCCCTCTTTGATATTTGGATTGCTTTTTAATTTTGACATTATAAGCAACGCCTCAATGAATGCCTTAGGCACATTTCTTTGTGCTCAGTTTCCTAGCCCTATGTGAAAGGTTCTCAGGTATACTGGTTATTTGGGGGAGGGGGTATGGATTTAGAAACTGAAAACCCAACTTTGCATCCAAGTTTTACTGAGAGTAGCAAACCCAACAGTGCATTTCACATACAAACCTGACTCCTGGGAGCACCTGGGGGGCTCCGGGGGTTAAGCCTCGACTTGATTTGGGCTCGGGTAATTAACTCACAGTTTGTGAGATGGAACCCCGCGCCAGGCTCTGCGCTGACAGTATGGAGCCTGCTTGGGATTCTCTCTCTCTCCCAATCTCTCTGCCCCTCCCAAGCTCACACACGCACTCTCTCTCTCTCTCAAAATAAACATTTAAAAAAACCTGACTCTGGGGTGCCTGGGTGGCTCAGTCGGTTAAGCGTCTGACCTCGGCTCAGGTCATGATCTCACGGCTGGTGGGTTTGAGTCCCGCATCGGGCTCTGTGCTGACAGCTCAGAGCCTGGAGCCTGCTTCAGATTCTGTGTCTCCCTCTCTCTGCCCCTCCTCCACTCACACTCTATCTCAAAAATAAATAAAAACATTTAAAAAAATTTAAAAAAAAAACCGGACTCCTGAACACCATCCTGTTTTCCTAACTTTATATTCCATTTGCCTCCTTTTATTACTCATTCTTAATCTATTATACCTTGCAGCAGTGTTTCCACTTTTAAAAGCTATGTTAAGTTCTTTTTTGGAACAAGGAAGGGTATAAATAAATAATGCAGTTTTCATGAAAATATCAACCAAAGTCTCAGATCCAGTCCTGGATCTTCGAATTACATACACAATGGGACTTGAAGTCACTTAATCCTGGTGTCTTGGTGAGCCTTAAGGATCTCATAAAATAGATACTATTTTGCTCTCACAACTATCGTGTAAATTTTAAGAAAGTTAACTATGAACACTATGTAATTATTAGCGGTATTATATTTAAAAGATATCATCAGAACTATAATTTATTGAGAAGTCAGATGATACTTAACAAACTCTTTAGAAAACACTTAGGCATAAATCTTCTCCTCAGTTCCTAAAAAACAGGTAAATAAAACAATCAATCATCAGTAATATGTGCCGTATGTCATGTGTGGTACATATCGTAGATAAGAATGAGATATTTACTAAATATATTTGCTGAATGAAAGATTTTAGGGAAAAATCGTATCAGTTGGCTGTTAACACCAGTACAGAGAAGACTAAAGTATGAATTATTTTTAACAGCTATAATTTCTTATGAAAATATTAAAATACAGCTGTCTTCCTTTGGGCAAATTCAATCTAAACTTACAAATTATTTAGGAAGTAAGAAGGCTCTTGCTTTCATTTGTGGGCAACAGGAAGACAACTACTGAGCTACTAAGTAAGACCTGTACCTCGGAAGAAGCAAGAGTGGGACCGTCTATCAGGCACAGACTGGATGTACGTTTGCACCACTGTGGTCATTCTGAACTGCACTGTCACAGGACCAAAGGCATCTCTCCAAATAAAAGAGGGCAGCAAAGATTTCAAGTAAAAGGCAGGAGTGGTGAGTAGGAGGGAGAGGAAAGCTAACCTTTATTTTGTATTTGCTTTTCTGTGTACCGTTTTAAATACGCTGTCCTTTAAACATCATCAAAGAACCTGTAAGGTAGGCCTTATGATCTCTTTTTAAAGATAAGGAAAAAGACTTACACGTCAAAAAAGTTAAGTTGCTCAAAAAAGTCTCACTCGAAGCTAAAAGGTACAAAGAGTCAGACCACATGCCAGGTCTATCCAACACCACACTCTTTCCACACTACTGTTTCTCATACCATACAAAGACAGCAGCAAACACCAACTGAGGGCTTTCTCTGTACCCTCCAGCATCCCACAGTAGTGCATCTTAAAATCCCGTTGAAATGGATGCCTCACTACTTCTGTTTTGCAAATGAGGAATCTGAAGGCCAAGAAAGTGAAGCACTTGGCCACCAGTCACCCAGTAAACAAACGGTGAAGCCAAGTTTCAAACCCACGAAGTCTGAGTCAACTATTACACTATAAGCAAAGTCGAGAAAGTGAGAAGGCTGGCCTTGAGAAGATAAAATCCAACAGAGATATAACAACTGTTTTCTAGTCTATACCCCACCTAAGACATGACAACACAGAATTCTAGGTAGCAATGAGAGGCAGACAAACATGGGTTAAAACTTAGAGCTACTACTTAGCTGTGTGAGGTTGGTGGATTCAAGTAACCTTTCTCTGAACTGTTTCTGCATTTGCAAAATAGAGATTAAAACAGAGCCACCACAGCTGACAATTAAGTGAGATAATGCGTGAATGTCACATGTACTTTGAGCCAAGCATTATGAGAAAGGGAATTAAACTCATCTCGCTTTAGCCTGACAATAATCTTCCAAGATATATTATCATCACTTCTAATGATTCAGGATAGCTTCTCAGGGTTATATGGTGTATCCAAAGTCACAGCTATTAAGTCACAGGAGAAAAATTTAAACTATGTTCTTCAAAATTAAAGGATAACGCATCCTTCCTCTTGTACCAATGGCATCGCCAAACAGAATAAAGATTTCTCAAAAACTGTACTTATTCTCTTAGAAGTTAACCTGCATTGCAATGAGATCATCAGTTCACACAGCCTTTTGGCAATCTGATAGCAATACTAGACCTGTGACATTTCTCCAGGTTCTCCAGACCATCAACAGGTATCACTGATATACAACTTCCCAGCAAGCATGACAGCCAAGGAAAATCCACCGTGATTCTCTCCCCTTGCCTGTCCCTGTGCGCAACAAGGTACGCACCGAACACAACACAGCCACACTCTGGTGAGACCAGACGCCAAAAAGTCATAGAGGTCGGTGAGACATAGGTGGCAGTGGCAACAGCCTTTGCTGCCGTTACAATTAACTGCAAGACTGTGCACAAGCCACCCAGCCTTTGTGTGTTTCCATTTCCTCATTTCCTAATCGAAAGTAATAGTGTCATGGTGGAGACTGGCCATAGAAGATCGCACTGTGCCAGTGATGTATACATATTACCTAATCTGATTCTCACAAAAGTCGGGGCAGGGAGGGTGTCCTCTCAACCCTGTATCAAAGATCAAGACCCTGAGTTTTATACCCATGTTACACCGTCCTAAAGCTGCTGTGGGTCCAACAGACTTAAAGACGTGTTCGTAAATATTTTGCGTATAGCCTCTGAAGTCACAGTATTACACCTACGAGTAGGTCCTCCTGACACTCAAGCAGAGGGACTTCTGTTCTTCTTACTAAAAACATAAAAGATACTCATACTTCCTTGTATTTTCATACTGCCTCCACCCCCAAAATTACTAACAGTATGTAAAATTTTTAAACTTCAGTATCTCCTTCCGTACACAGCTCATCACCTAGAGAAAACCCAGGACAGAGTATACACCTAACTGTATTTACTGAGTGAACAACTCAACATAAATTGTTCACCAGCTCCTAGTATTAGGTACTTACAGAAATTATTTAAATGTTTACAATATCCATAAAAGGATCATCATGCCCACTGTACAAATGAAGAAGCAAAAAACTAACAAAGGTTGCATAGCTTGGGTCACAGAGTTGATCATCTCCAGAACCAGGCCTGGAACGTAGTTTTGACAAACTCTACTACAGCCTTATGATGTTCCCACTCTGAAGTTCACAAAACAGTTTTATGAAAAGGAACGACTTGAGACACCTTGAAGGATGACCAGGACTTCAGAAAGTGGAAACAAGGACACAGTTGACCCAAAGGAATGAAAAGAAGCAAAACACAGAAGACAGGAGGCAAGCAGCAAGTCTGGGAAACACTATCTAGTATCCTTTACCTAAAATAAGCATTTAACTTAAGAGCAGGAATATAAGTACGTAAGAGACTCAGAAAGATTAACATAGCAGGAAAAAAATCAAAGTAACAAAGTACTAGAATGGACAAATTTGGAGGCAGAGAAGCCAGGTCATAATTCATGAGTCAAGGGGTAGTGACGGTTAGGGTCTAAGTCATGACAGAGAAACAGAAAAGAAAGAAATGATATAGGGACATTCTTCTTTGGGCATGGGTGACCATTCGTTTGATAGACACTATTGATGTCTATAGTGGTTGTGACATTCCTCTCAACCCTTTAAATCTGATCCCTTTCATTGCCGGTTCTCAGCATCATGAATTCCACCACATGAACTTCATTGGAAGTTATGCTTCAACATTTACATGGTGGGATAGAATCTGTGGAACAGACTCTCATTTTATTGCCTACAATGAAAAGGTGGAAGAAGGCTGCAAAAATGACTGAATAAATATCTCTTCTAAAGCTTCCTGAAGGCACGCTTTTCCTGAATTGAAGCGAGGAGCTAACATTGCTTCTGCGGAGCAGAAATGAACAAGCAGAAATGAACAATGGATACAAAGGACATTAACAACCTTTAACTATCTTCCTAGTGGGAACTTTTTCTACTCTACATAAAAGTTCTGTGTGTGTAGAAATAAGTAAATAGATATTGAGGTACGATTTTCACCAGGAAGTTTCAAAGGCCACGTTGCTAACCTTACGGAAAGGTTTGACGTAATGGAAGAAGTATTAATCCGTGTCTTTCCCCCAGTAACACCATATTCCTGAAGTTGAAACTGGTCTTTAAAACCTTTTAAATATATAGTGGCCATTTCAAAAACTCTTAGCAGGCTGTTGGTCTCATATTGAACCTTAAGCATCTTTTAGAATCTGCCTAAACATCAAAGCATCACGGGTTCAACCACATCAAATGACAGTGTTGAGTGAGGCTGCCGAACCAAAAAGAGCCAGCACCAAGAACCTCCACTCTTATCCTAAGCTGACCAGTTTGAGGTGATTCTCTTTCTTTGAGAAGTCCTTTTGGATTGCAAAGTACTACTGGTATCCATAAACGAAGGCCTTTCTGAATTGTTTTAAGTGGAATATTTTAATCTAAAGGTTTTTGGGTTACTTGAATTTTTTAAAAAATTGAGCTTTATTTCCCAATTTTTACCTTTCATTTTTGTAGATTAAGTTTTCAGTATACCTAAAACTGTATCTTGAAACATTGTGAGCTGACTTGCTGTATTTGCACTTTGAACTACAGAAATAAATGTGATTTTTTTGTCTGATTTAAAAAAAAAAAAAGAAAGAAAGTATATAGGGAACCAAAGAACTCACAAGAATCAACTAAAATAAAGGAATAAAAGAAAAGAATTGCAAACCTGATTGGAAGAATGATAATGTCATTGAGAAATTTCATTTTCTACATTCAATAATGTGCATAAGGAAAAAATAGGGAATCAAGGAAAGTGGAGATATTTCAATTAATTCCCAGACATCTATGCCTTAATCCACCTCTAATATATCAGAAAATCACTTACAAAAATCAGAAAGGAGTCTTGCAAGATGTGTCCAACATATGTAAAGAATATTTATTAAAATGTTATCTAACACTTAATGACAAATAACTCAAAAGTCCGTAACAATACGCTATAAAACATACGCGCGCCTACCAAGTCAGCTCAAATGAGAAAAGTATTACCAACATAATCATTATTTTATAGAGAATGGTAAAATTTGAAAATATCACATATTGCAAACTAAACCATATCACACCTCTGCACCAAGGTACTAGAATTTATCCAATTTCTTGGTATTTCCAGTTTTAGCTTTAAATTTGTTAACTTTACCTTAATGTCCACAATATATCCATGTTTGTAATTATATATTATAAATGATCTAGCAGAGATTAAAACTGAGGCTTCAAAAACATGGGTCGCTTTAATCTTGTGGCTTTTGATTATCCCTGGCAGAAAGCCACAAAAACCACCCAAGGACAAAGTTTAGAAAGCATCCAAATAAATAAAAATGTTTTATAGAAATACATGAAGCAATGATATTAAACTGATGACTATTTAAAAACAAAAGCGGATGGGGCGCCTGGGTGGCGCAGTCGGTTAAGCGTCCGACTTCAGCCAGGTCACGATCTCGCGGTCCGTGAGTTCGAGCCCCGCGTCAGGCTCTGGGCTGATGGCTCAGAGCCTGAAGCCTGTTTCCGATTCTGTGTCTCCCTCCATCTCTGCCCCTCCCCCGTTCATGCTCTGTCTCTCTCTGTCCCAAAAATAAATAAACGTTGAAAAAAAAAAATTAAAAAAAAAAAAAAACAAAAGCGGTAACAGGCTCTAAAATAGGTAACCTGTGAAACAAAAGAAGTATTACAATAATCGAAGATTCCAAAAAAAAGACTTTAAACATACACACATACCCCAAAAATAGATTAGTAGAAGTTCATCCACATGAAAATGCTGGAATACCTGCAATGAGGAACACTATACAGTCACTAAAACTGACTTTACAGAGATTTTTAATACAGTTAGAAACACAAATCATGTTAACTAATAATATTAAATAAAATCATGTACATATATACAAACATATATATCTCAAATATGTACAAAAAAGACAAAAAAAGTAATTTAAAATTGTTATCTCCGGGAAAAAATTTATAAGTAGTTTTAGGTTTTTTAGATCACCCAACATTTACCATTTTTCTAAGTCAGCATACAAATAAGATTTACAACAAAGCAAAACAGTGACAAGTCTTGGTGAAAGTGGCTCTTTTGCTAATAAATAGGCACTGAAATAAAAGATCCCTAATTTTTCTTGCACCGAAAATGCATAAATAACATCTATTAACTGTAAAAAGAGATAACTAAAAGCTTAATTCTATACACCTAAATTAGCCTTCCCCATGGTCTATAACAATTGAGTTTTGGGGTGCCTGGGTGGCTCAGTCGGTTAAGCATCCAACTCCAGATTTTGGCACAGGTCATGATCTCACGGTTCGAAAGTCTGAGCCTCACGCTGGCCTCTGTGCTTATAGCGTGGAGCCTGTGAGGGATTCTCTCTCTCTACCCCTCCCGTGCTCGCTCGCTCTCTCTCTTTCAAAATGAGTTTTATGATTCTTTCCATGCAAGTTTTAGAAAAGAACAGACCTACTATTTACAACCCATTTCCGTTCAAACTGGGTATCAGGACACAAAAAGTAAAAGCATCCGTATGGTGCTTTGTAACATGCCAATATTTTATGCACCAAGTCATTTGATACTCACAATAACCTTAGGATGAGTGTTAGCTCAATTTTAAAGATGAGTGTCCACAGCCACTATAAAAAAAAAAGTGTTGATGAGATGTCAAGAAATTGGGCCCTTTGTATATTGCTGGTGGGAATGTAAAATGATGCAGCCTCTATAGAAAACAAATGGCGGTTCCCCAGTAAGTTAAAACCGTAATTACAATATGACCTAGGAATTCCACTCCTAGGTACTGCCCATAGCTGGGGGTGGCAGGGGGAAGGTTTGTCAGGGGTAAGAGGGTGAGGAGTGATAGGAAGCAACTGCTTAATGAATATGGGGTTACCCTTTGGGATGATGAAAAAGTTACGGAACTAGATAGTGTTATATAGTGACTAGATAATGGCACAACACTGCGAATGCACTTAATGCCAGTGAATTGTACACTTTAAAAGTCAAAATTGCAAATCTTATGTGTATTTGACAACAATTTTAAATGAGGGAGGACATGTCTTAGGTGGAGTGTCTGAGAAGCAAAGGCTAAGATGATAATTCTTTGGAAGTGACTGAGGGTGTACTTTTACATAAAAAGTTCAAGGAAGTGGGTAAGGCAATGAAGCCACAGGTGCAGCTGAAGTCTAACCTCATCCTGATCCCACCACGAACTCTGGAGTCTAAATGGCACCATGGAGGGTCGCAGTTAAGTGTCCGGCCCCTGATTTCAGCTCAGGTCACCATCTCGCGGTTCGTGGGTTCGAGCCCACGAACATCAGGCTCTGCACTGACAGTGCGCAGCCTACTTAGGATTCTCTCTCTCCCCTCTCTCTCTGACCAACCTGCTTGCTCTCTCTCTTTCTCTCTCTCTCAAAATAAAATTAAAAAAAAAAAAAAAAACCTTAAAAAAATTAAATAATAATAAATGGCACCAGGGAGTTGTCCTGTCTTAAGACATGACCATGCCCCATTCCTCACAGAAGTCAGTCACTGGCTACAGGTCACCCCCCACCCCCTGGGCAAGTGGAGAACATGTCTCAGGCATCTCTGGTTAAGACAGCTCCGAACAAATCTGTGGAAGTGTTTACTGCTGAGAGCTGTCAGTCACCAGGTCTACAGGTGAGGGACAGGCAAATACCCCATCCAGGTAAAAGGATCTGGGTATGGCACCAACAGCACCTACCAGGAGAAGGAAATAGAGGCTTGAGACACTTGAGTGATTTATCTAGGATCACAGGGCAAGAATAACTGAAACTCCGGACTCTCCTCATCTTAGAATTCATGCTCTTTCCTAGTCTAGCTTTGGATAATTTCAGCCCATTAAAACATACCAGTGAATTCACTTTGTCTATTGTTCTTCCCTTTATGTTTTTCTTCTTACTTTGAGTTTTTGTTTCATTAGTAAAGTGGTTTGTTTTGTTTTGCTGAGAGAGGGTGAGGAGATGGTTCCTTAAGCTCTGCTGAAGTGGCTTTTGCACTAGTTCTGGTCCCTCCCTAGCAAACCCCTAGTTCACATCACATCACCTAGCAGAAGTGGCTTCTCTCAATAAGGTCTCGCTCAAAACCCTGTTCAGAGGTAGATTCTGTATTATGTTTTCAAGACTGCCTGCTTTTTAAATTCTCCTGTGCTTGACAGCAAGAATCAATCGGGTGTACCCATCTCTCTATTACTGATTATCTGGCATCTAGTAGGAAGCTGATAAAAGTTTATTCAACCAAACTCTACAGGCACACCTCATTTCATTTTGCTCCACTTTATTGCACTTTGCACTGTGTTTTTTACAAACTGAAGGTCTGTGCAACTCTGTGTTGAGCAAGTCTATTGGCTCCGTTTTTACAATAGCATTTGCTCACTATGTGCTTCTGTGTTGTGTCACATTTTGGTAATTCTCACAATGTTTCGGACTTTCTCATCATTATTGTATTTGTCATGGTGATGTGTGTTCTATGATTACAATTCAATGATGGTCAGCATTTTTTAGCAATAAAGTATTTTTTTAATAAGGTATGTACATTTTTTTAGACATAATGTTACTGCACACTTAATAGACTACAGTATAATGAAAAGACAACTTTCATAAGGACTGGGAAACCAGGGTATTCATTTGACTCACTTTATTGTGATATTCACCTTTTTTGCAGTGGTATGGAACTGAAACCACAATATCATCTCCCAAAATATGCCTGTACTTTGTTTTAACACAACTAAAAAGAAACCTAAAACATAGACAATTTTCTTTAACTCTGTATTTTAAATGCCCTTTATTCAAGTGCATTTCATTATTTATTGTAGAAAGGTTGCTTAAATCTCCTGCTACAAGGCAACTGACCGCCCATACACCACAGGTCAGGATCAATGACAGACTAGAGTCACTAGCATGAATTGGATGCTTTGTAAATGGAAAAATAATATATACTTTTATCCATTTAAATGTACAAATACCAACATCTAATAATTACATTCCACTTAGAATAAATTAAAAGACATTTAATACTGCTTTCTACAGGAAAATGTTACAGATAAAAGTAACTTCTCTCTACCCACCCATCCAAATTAAAGAGCTCTAATTCTGAAAAACAATTTAGCATAGTGAGGAATTTTATTTATTTTAAATAATTTAAAGGAAAGATAAATTACTACAATAGTCAATAATTATGCTAAGAGACACATTTCAATGTAATTAAATCCAAAAAAACTAAACTTATATTTAATTTTTCCACAATTTTATCATTATGTTTGGCATTAATGACACCACTTGCTATCGCCAGTATTCCACTGCTCTAAAAGGCTAGTATCATTTTCCTGAAACCAAAGAGACTATTAGCAGAAGCGATTTCAAAGCTATACCAACAAACCTCAAAAAGTTTAAAAAAAAAAAACAACAATGTTCCTAACAAGAAAGGCCAAGGACGAAGAAGTCAGGAGTGAAAAAACAGGTGAGAAAATAAAAGAAACAACATTCAAACTAAAATCAGAAAAACACAAATAGAAAACCTTCCAAGATGTTTGTTTTCAATTGTCAAGTCTACTAACAAAATCACTTTAATGGGTAAGAATGTCAGAAAGATCTTAGTGAACAAACAATGTCACTACACCTAGTTTTCCTTCTTCCTTTTTTTTTAACGAAATTTTTTTAACGTTTATTTATTTTTGAGACAGAGCAAGACACACCATGAGTGGGGGAGGGGCAGAAAGAGAGGGAGACACAGAGTCTGAAACAGGCTCCAGGCTCTGAGCTGTCAGCACAGAGCCCAACTCGGGGCCTGAACTCACAAACCATGAGATCATGACCTGAGCCAAAGTTGGATGCTCAACCGACTGAGCCACCCAGGCCACTATCCCCCCACCTTTTTTTTTTTGAAATGCAACCAATGGTACAAAATCGTCACCAGTCACTAATATACTTGCCATTAAAATACACTTGAGCGCTAAAAGAACACAAACAACAGAGGAAGTCAATGAGCTCAAAAAATTTTTTTAACTTATTCATTCACTTTTGAGAGACAGGGAAAGAGAGCACAAGCAGGGGAGGGGCAGAGAGAGAGAGAGAGAGAGAGAGAGAGAGGAAGAGAGAGAATCCCAAGCAGGCTCCACACTTTCAGTGCAGAGCCTGATGTGGTGTTGGATCCCAGGAACCATGAGATCATGACCTGAGCTGAAATCAAGAGTCAGATGCTTAACAAACTGAGCCACCCAGGCACCCCCAAGCTGAAATTTTTATTCTAAGAAAGAACTGATTAAAGAAACCCAACTGAGGGCAAAGGCAGCGTTGCTTCCATTAAGATTAAATGCATGGTCTGATCTTCTTCTGACTCTGAACACATTTCCAACAGAAATCACTAGTGAATAGGCTTCTTCAGGTTTTAGTGTTTGCTTGTTTGTTTGCTTGCTTTTCAAGGAAAAATCCACGAATTATGCAAGCAATATTTATCTTGAAGTATAAAGCCTGGAAAATAATGTGGCTAATCACAGTTCACAGATATTTCCAAACTAAGATTCAAGGCTACCTCCATTATTCAAAGTAAGAAATACCAGCTTTTAGCTATAAATAAGAACCAACAGCTTTCACATTACTGGAACATAATTCACTTTATGTCACCACCTGCATTTATAAATAACCTTTTGGAAAAAAAACAAAATATCATGGTCTTTTCATACCAGCTCCAATATAACCGCAATATTTATTGTCTCCACGCATTATTTACTGCACTTCATGATTTAGTGCTATGAGAGAAAATATACGTGATCTGTCATGTTTTCAATTTATTAAGTAACAAAAACCTTTTCACAAATACATTCACCTAAATTCAGTTAGATAAGTCTATTCTAACAATGCTCTACAAAATGGCCACTCCGTCTATTACTTTGTTTATGAACAGAACTACATGCCACATAAACTATCAACTTCCATCCATGGTTTGGCGAGTTTGCTTTGCTTCTATCATTTTAATTCATGCAGGCTCTCTTTCAACTACAAAATCCTCCTGGTTCCATCTAATAATATATCCTCCACACTGCTATCAGATCATTCTACAGCTACATCATGTCACTTCCTTCCCCTCAAAACACCCAATAATGATTCCCCTTAGTTTTGAACATAAGGTTCAATCAATTTAAATAGCTTAACAAATAAGGGCCTTCCTGATGAACAACCTCTACCTTTCCAGATGCTTCTCTAGCCATTTTTTCACCCAATTTTTGATCTGGCATCTTTAATTATATCTTAAAATTGAGTGCAATTCACAAAATGCTTCATGCTGTCCCATGTGGTCTTGGTCCGTAACATTCCTTCACTGTATTTCCCTCCTCTTGCCCTTCCTGCCTATAGGTGTTGAGTCAACTTGTAACAGTCCTTCCAGTTCAGCTCATTTTCACCAATTCTGAGTGACTTTCACTGAATCCCTCCATCTGACTGAAATTACTTTACCACCAATACCTAGTATCATGTTCAAGTTACATGCATTTCAAGTTTATGCATTGTAGTATTCAACACACAGTACTATATTCATTGACTTGTATACTTCAAATAGCTCCTTCAATATAAATTCATTTGATTTATGAACTATGCCTTATTTAACTCTATAATCTCAGCACTAA